AACGCCACGGGTTTCCCGATCTTCCGTGGGAGGATGGACAAGAATGGGCCGTGAGGTATAGTGACCTTACTTTCCTGTCGTCCCCCCTCCCCCGGTGTCCTCAAATCTGTGACTGTATCCCCCGCGTCTTCCTTCTGCAGGCACGCTTTCTCCAAATGCACTGCCCGAGGCGTTTCCCTCACTCTGAAAACAGTTGTTATACCTTTCCTTCTAAATCTACTCATTTCCCTGTCAACCTGGCTCTCTCCTGCACCCCTGACTCCCTCCCTAACCCTGCACGCCTGCCAGGCTGCCCCCGGTCGCCTCCAGGAGGCAGCATGAGGCCGTGGGAAGAAGGCCTGCATTGAATCCCAGCTGTCACTCATGAGCAAGTCACTCACTCACCTTTGCACCTTTGTGGTCACCTGGGAAGTGAGTATAACCATAACCTCGAGGGGCTGCGAGGCCTACAGGGGACACCCTGAAAGTGGGGGCCATGCTTCCTTTCCCAAACCCAGCCAAGTTCACCCTGTCCCAGCACTCACCGGAGGCAGCCTCCTCTCACCCCTCCGGGAGCTGGCTCTTAGAACCGTGGTGGGCAACCCAGAGCCTTCTGTGCCCTCACCTGCCCTGCTCTGGACGCCTGGCGCCAGGAGACCACTCACCATCTCCGTGGGGCTCAGGCAGCAACCTGTCCCCTGGGAAGTGACAGCCTGTGTCCTTGGAGGCCTGCAGGAGGGCTCCGGCCGGAAGGCCTCGGAGCCGGTTTGCTCACGGAGCACACTTGGTTTCCCGCAGTTCCAGCCACAGGTGGCTCCCGAGACCCTCCCCCACGGGAAGGAGGGGCCACGTACAAGGGAAGGCCGGGAGCAAAGGTGATGTCTGCTGTGACTTAAGAAATGTGTCAGACTCTCAACCCTCAGAGGGAAGGCAGGGGAGGGTGGGGGGAAGGGGAAGAGATCAACCAAAGGACTTGTGTACATGCATACGGGCCTAGCCAGTGGCCATGGACAACGGGGGGTGGGGGCATATGTAGGGAGGGGTTTGGGATGGGAATGGGGGGATGAGGACAATTATGTGAGACCATATCAATAAAATAAATATAATAATAATAAAAAAGAAATGCGTGGCTCCCAGCACCTATTCTAAACGGGCTGTAAGCTGGAATGCTGCATGGCCGGGGCCAGAAAGCTGAGCCACGTGAGCAAGCATCTCCCCTCGCCCTGCACAATGAACCAGAGAGGCTAAGACTGCAAGAATCGAGTTTCAGGCTGCATGACACTACAAAAACCCAGCTATTAGGGTCCTCCACTGCACCAGAGAAGAGAGAGGGAAAGAAGAACAAGTTCGCCATCACTTCCCTTCAGGGACCCTTTTCATAGAGCATCGACCCTAAGCTGGACAGGGTGCTCAACGCCACATGCACAACCTCCTCTGCCCACATTTAAAACGAACAAAACCCTCCCCACATCCAAAACCCTAAAACCGAAGCAAGCACTTTCATAGACGAAGAGATGGGGGGGTGAGGGGGGGGAGAGGTGGGGAACTGGGGGAGCGGGTCGGGGGGGCTAAGCCTGTGTCACATCACAGACCTACAAAAGGGCAGGAGCAGGGTTTGAACTCCGGGCTCCGTTTACTGCTCAGATGAAGAAATTCACTTTCCGGAAGAGAAGCAACGCGAGACAGACACAGAAGGAGAGAGAACCTGATTTTATTTAAATACTTGCACAAATTTCAAAATCATCTGGAATGTACACAAAGGTTCCTAGTAAAATGCAGGGAACGTCCCGACCCTCACACGTGCCTTCCTCCTGGCTCAGCTTTAGACCCCAGTTGAGTTGTGCAAATCGTCCCAACAATGGTTTTGGAATAAAAACATCGGATCCAGAACCAGGTGTTGCTTGTATATATACTGTCATGTCTCCTTAGTGTCCTTTAACCTGGAATTAAAGGTTTTCTTTTTAATCCTCACCCCCCAAGGGAAGGAAGAGCCAAATACAAGAGAAGGCCAGGAACAAAGGTATTTTTTTCCTATTGCTTTTCAGAGAGTGGGAGGGAAGGAGGGGAAAGGGAGAGTGAGAGACAGAAACATCGGTGTGAGGACACATCGATGGGTTGCCTCGCCTTGACCTAGGGGCAGGGAGCGAACCCACAACCCAGGTATGCGCCCTTGACCGGGAAATGAACCGGTGGCCCTTCAATTACGTGGGTCGACACACACTCTAACCACTGAGCAACACCAACCAGGGCTGGAAATAAATTTAATTTTGATACAATGTAGGATAAAGAAGAATCAAGCTTTTAGAGGTCACTGGCTGACCAGGGGTTGAGAGGGGGAACAAATGGTGAGGGCCTTGGCCACCTTGGGCATCAGACCATGAGAGCCACGGGGGCTGACTGCCTCTGAGAGCCTCTCCCACTGCCTAGAGCGACTGAGAACCAAGTGCACTGGGTGACCTGCACGAAGTTCAGTCTTTGACAAGCACCACCCATGTGGCTGACTGGGACATATACCCGGAAATGCTTCTGGAAAAGTGGACTTTACCCATCACTTAACAATATCAGTCTTTTATTTTTATTATCATGACAGCTAATATTCTTATTCTTATTCCCAATCTTTTTCTAGATACTCTTGGTCAGGCATTGTGCTAAGGACTTTAATGCTGTCATCTTCTTTAATTCTTCCAACAGCCTGAGGCATGCATGATCATTAATCCCCTCTTACAAATGAGGACAGTGAGGCAGGAGAAACCAGATGAAGCTGCCTGAGAACCATGCGGAAGGTCAGGCCTCAGAGTTCCCCTGCCTTATCACCTCCCACATATGCATGCAGACCTGTCGCCTTTTTAATTCCTAATGAGATAAAATGAACTTCAATCTCCGAAGGGAAACACTGAGAGGCTTTTCAGTTGCACAGGGAGACTCGGACCCAAGTCTGCCTCGGAGAACTGTGAGGCCGGCACCCTCCTCCCCTGCACACGGCCACCAGGCCAGGCAAGCTCACGAGCGCTGGTAAAGCATTTATGTCAAAAATTTATTTGGTGCTTAGACGGTAAACAGGAAATAAGAGCCAGTAATAATACCTTGTCATTTCACCTTTAACCAGTTTTTAAGTTCTGAAGAACAAAATGAGACACAATTTCACCCACGTGGGCTTTGGAACATGGAGGCACGTGGCACAGTGACCCTGAAAGAGAAGCTGGGGTGTTAGTCTTCGTTTCAGTGGGTGCGATTCTCCCAGGACTTAAGTGCTCAAGTTACTATGATACCTCCGGGTGTCTCCTGTCTGCCAGGCAGGTTGGAGCAACAAGTCCCAGCTGCTAACACCAGAATCTAGAACAGGCATGTCAAACTCAAAGGCTAACACGGGCCAAATAAACAAGGCATGCGGCCCGCGGGCCGTGAGTTTGACATGCTTGATCTAGAAGCCTCCTCATGCAGATGCCTGAAGAATTAGTGTGCAGCCTGAGCTAGTGGCCTATGTGTGCCCAGCTCCTCTCTGGAGCCAAGAGCACTCCTTGCCTGGAGTTTGGACCTTCCCGTCTGAAAAGTCATTTGCTCTGACGCAGAGGCCTGCCGGCTGGTAGCTTCTCCAACACTCACCACGGGGTTGGCAGCATATCAGGGCTGGCTGCCATCGGGGGGCTTCCGGTTTTGAGAGGAAGGCCAATGCTGCATTGTCCATGCCCGAGTGATTCCTCCCGGAGAAAACCGGATGCTGCTGATGCAAGACTCAGTGCAATTTGTTGGCTCCTGAGGCCCCAGGATGAGTTGATTTGGGGACGGCAGCGATGCTGTTAGCCAGCCTGGGCCAGAGAACAAGCTTTTTCTCTCCTGGACCCCCAGGTGTCCGGAGAAGGCAAATTTACATAATTGAATGGCTAATTTTGGTCCATCAGTAAACATTTTTCTTTCCAACTAATATGCTAATGCGGAGATGAAGCCATCATTGATAGTTATGCTCTATTCAGCCATTTACGGATGCCCTTTGGAAATTATTTTCTAGGAGGTTGTCAGAAGAATCGGAATACAGCTAAGACTCTATCCTCAATGCCTAGCGCAGTACTCGGCTCACTGCTTGGTCCTCAATGGAGTTCCATTGGAAAAAAATCACGGAAGGGGCAACTGTGCACAGTAGGTTCGGGCTGATGAGACGCAGTCGGGGCTCCCCAGCCTGGCTCTGGAGGAGAGGAGCCTGCAAGGAGCTGGCACGGGGCTGGCTGTCGTGTGGCAGGAGGCACGGCCAGGAGCCTTCCACAACTCTTAGCTGGTTAGTTGAGCAGAGGGACGCTGGCAAGCTTTACTCTGGCTGATGTAGACAGACCAGGAAATCACACTCCTCGGGGAAACTTCCCAGAGCTGGACACAGGCAGTGCCTGGCAGCCCATGTTGCCTCTGCGTGGGCCTGTGCCCCCGGTGACCACACAAAAGACAGCCGGGGTCTGTGACGCGAGTCTGCGGGCTGTCCTGGTGCCCAGCCTGAGAGCAATGGTCTCAGCAAGGTTAGTTTGGACTGCTCTTAGGTTTCTGTCCTGAGGGAGACTCAGGTCGCCTGGCAAGATGCTCTGCTGACCACTGCCTGATGGTGGAACAATGAGTGTCCTCGTGAACGTACACACTTCACACACTGGACGCTCCCTGACCTCTTGCATTTCCTAACCTCCGCTAGCAGAGCCTCCTCTACACTGTAAGTCAATTAGAACCAGCTGCATTAGCTTCCTCTGGTCTGCAAGGGTCCTGCCTGCCAAGGCAAGCTGCATGGCGCTCCCGGGTGAACATCAGAGGCCTGGTTAGGGCAGTGTTCCCGAGCTTCGGAAAATGTGTGACTGAACCTATGGCCTATTTGGCACCGGTGTTTACTGCAGCCAGTACATGGGATGCGTTAGGAGCGGGCAGTTTTTAAGCCAAGAGGGTCTCACGTTTTCTCTCTTCCATAATCAAACACTGAAATTAAGCATTTACCTACGGAGTCCACTAGTTACTACTGAGAGTCTGTGCACCACGGCCCAATGCACCAGCTGTCAGTCCTCGCTTCCTGATGTTGCGACGTCCGCTTTGGACAGGTCATCCTTCAGCCAGTCCGCGACCATATCAGCCATTTCCTGGTACGAACGGAGGATGAAAGCGTGAGCTATTTTCTTCTCACAGAGCCGAATATCTCCTTCCGGGAAATCTTTCTTTATGTCTTCGTAGTACTCTGTTGGACACCAAGGATCTATAGTTCCATAGTAAAACGTAAGCTACGAGACAAGACAAAAACATGGGTTAGAAAACACTTTCCCCTCCAGGCACACATATAACACCAGCAACTGGCAAGCGACCTGCTTTACCAGCCCCCATGTCTGGCCCTGGGAGCCGGGCTCAAGGCTCCCTCCAGAGCAGCTCTCTCAAGGCTGTGAGCTTCACAGTTTGTGCGAGTGAAGGAAAAGGCCTCAATGGGAAAACCCATGTAGGGAGAGTCTTGCGTGACAGACCACCCACGATTCACGGAAAGGACTCGCCGAGGCCAGGCTGGTCACTGGAGAGATGGCAGAGAGAACGGGAAGAGTTATTGAGACAAAACCACTGCCGAGTGACTAGTGACCATTCATCACACACCTAATAGTTCCCATACAGCCACATGGTAGGCATGTGGCACATGTTTGTTGGATGCACGCAAAGGTGAATCAGACAGACTCTTCGAGAGGCAGGTGAAACATGACCAGAAGCATGAATGTGTCTGCGACATTTCCACAAACGGGCTCACTTGGCGGGAGTGTATGCTGATTCAGGGGGAGGTGTTATAATCATACTATGGTGACAGTGAGCAGCTGGATGGAGACAGCACCTCCTGTGAGGCACTACTAAGATGAATCTGTATCTGCCCATGACACACACACACACACACACACACACACACACACACACACACACATATTTATTTGTACACACATACAAATGTGTATATATGTACCCATGCATGTGTATATGTGTTGGGTTCAGACACATTTGTGTATATAAGTACATATATAAATATGCATATTTATGCACACATACACTTATAGTAAATACATACAGATGTGTCTAGCTTTAGGCTGTTCTGCACTAAAAACTATGTTCTAGTTCTTCCATTTCTAAAACAAAAAGGCAACAAAAGTGAAATTATTCACAATGGCACATAGTAGAGACTTATACCAAAAAAAGAACTAAGTTTTAAAGACCCTATGTAACTGTTATTACTGAAAAACAAACAAACAAAAAACCAGTTATGCCTGGGTCCAGCCCTTAAGTGGCCAGTCACACCCACTTGTAGTTTCCATGATACATCAAATTCACTCGCTCCCTCCCTCACTCAAACCCTTATTCATTAATCTGTTCAGCAAATACTTAATGATCATGTGCGCTGTGTTAGGAACCTGGAGAATAGATAATAAGACGCAGTTGCTGGTGGGGGAAGCTCAGAGGCACCATGTACACAAGACAACGTCAGAGCCTGGAGGAGGGATGCTGGCAGCAAGTAGTGGCCAGGAAAAGGTTCCCCAGAGAGTTGATGCCTGAGTTGAGTCTTCACGTTGGGGGAGCACACTGTGGGGAACAAGCAAGCAAAGCAGAGTGTGAAGAGCAGGGTGTGCTTGGGAATGGGAGCTATCATGTCTTCTGGAATGTAGGACGGTGGAAATAAGACCAGCAAGGGGGAGAGAGAGAGAGACCGGGTCATGAACTTCTGTATTATGCTAAGGAACTTATTGGGGTGACATTGGTTAACAAAACTATATAGGTTTCAGGGGTACAATCCTATAATACATCATCTGTATATTATGTGTTTACCATCCCAAGTCAAGTCTCCTTCCATCACCATTTATCCCCACTTACCCTCTCCCACATCCCTCCACTTCCTGTTCCTCTGGTAATCACCATATTGTTGTCTGCCTATGAGGCCCCCCCCCCCCCTACCTCCCACTAATCCCTTCACCTTTTTCACCCAGCCCCTGACACCCACCCCCCTCTGACAGTGGTTAGTCTGTTCTCTGTATCTATTTCTGTTGTTAGTTTATTTTGTTCATTAGAGTCCACATATGAGTAAAATCACATGGAACTTGTCTTTCTCTGATGGCCTAACTACTCCTTGAAGCATCTCCAATGAGAGGTCTGGTTTGGTGAGCCTCAGCATTGGGGAGATGTCACCCCTTCCCCGTGTGTGAAGGTGTCAGCCAGGTGAGCACAGTAATCCATGGATTACCTTCTGGGATCAAGAGACCAGTCATGTCCAAGTAGTTTTGGGGTGCACATGGCCCACGGTAGGTACAAGGAACCTCAATACAGAGTTGATGCCAAGTTGATGGAGGAGTCTAGATTCCCAGGTGTGCATCTGATTCTCTCTCTCGATCCTCCTTGACCAGTAACTATGAGAGTGTATTTGGTTAAATCTCTAAGTCCAGTGGGGTAATGTCTTTCTATTTTTCAAATTCTTCTTCAGGCCATAGTCATGGAAGGGCTCTCTATGAAAAACTTGGCTTCCAAGTAACAACACATGGCTACTTCTAATGTCTTTACGCACACTGGTTCAAGATACTTCCCATTCCCTATAGATTATTAGTCACAGACAATCGATCTCAACAGTGGACTCTGCATCTGTAACCCTAAACAAGAAATCAAAAAAGCATGGGGCGTATGGAGGTAGGAGGGGAAGGGAGGACAGGCGAAGGAGAAAGAGAACTGAATACCAAGGCACGGTGGTTAAAAGCATCCACTGTTAGGATGTCAGCATGTAAAAATTGTCACAACAAATAATAATGAACTGATGGAAACTGAGAGTAACGTGCCAGGCTCTGTGCTCAGCTCTGCACTCACTGAGTCCTTATAATATCTGGGGAAGGTGTTTTACGTAAAAGGAAACTGAGGCAGAGAGAGTAACTTGCTTACACTGAAACAATCAGTGAGTTGTAAAGCTGGGCTACGTAAGTCCAGAGACAGCATTCCTCATCAGCGCCTTTCACTACTACTTACATTCAACAATGAACTGATCAATGTTATTAAGTAAAGTGTCTTTACTTAACGTCTCTGCAGGTCTGTAGTTCTGGGGCGGAGAACGCTGTGAAATACTGGAAATGTGAACCAAGCATCTCAGGCTATCAGCGGGATGTCCACATCCAAAGGCTGATAAGACAAGAAAGGATTTCCCGGAGGTTATTTCTCCCTAGCACTTGCTTTGACATGCATGGGAATTGATAAAAAGCACACATTGTGGAGATGGAAATTACCCCGCGCTCCCAAACTGCTGTCATATTAAGTAATCCATTTTTCGATTAAACACACAGTTTAATTTTCTCAGTCCTAGATTGTGATTCCCAGGAGGTGGTTTGCTTTCCTCGGGCGCTTTTGGCAGAGGTGGGAGCAGGGCTACTCTGGCCTCCGTGCTGTTTTCCTTTCACTCCCAGGATGCCCCTGTGGAGACGTGTCCTTGCCAAACGGCCCTGCAAACTGCTGCAGCCGCGGCCACACACAATCCACATTTGCCGCTCCTCACGTTCTATTTTCTTTTTCTTTTCACTTTTTGCTCCTGAAACTGACAGTCGTCAACGACTCTAGACTTATCTCCATCTAGTGGTGGCTAAGTGGTTGAAATTCAGAAATCAGACAGTCTTGCCCAGGAGAAGCTCCCGGAATAGGGAAAACATAGGCGTGTGCCAACTGGCTTCTAAATAGCAGGCAGAGAGAGGTCTGCACAAAGCACAGGGACCCAAAGCAGGGGAACCTATATTCTACCCTGAGAGAGTCAGCAAAGCGTTACTATTCAATTTGAGTTGCTGGTTTTTAGGCATCAACAATAGAGAATTTACTGCAGGAACAAAAGAAATATTAGAAACCATCTTGTGACCCAAGTTTATAAATTTGATTTTGCTAACAGCTAACAAAAATGACTTTCTATTAGTAATAGATATATTATTCAGCCATAAAAGGAGGAGGACATGCTGCCATTTGCATGGCTGGAACTTGAAAGTATTCCACAAGTGAAATAAGCTGGTCAGAAGACAAATCCTCCATGCTCTCACATATAGGTGGAATCTAAACACCAGTGAACTCATCCTAACAGAGAACAGATCTGTGGTTGCCAGAGGTAGGGAGTGGGAGTTGGGGGGTGGGGGGAGAGGCAGGCTGGAAGAAGGGCGTCAAAAGGTACACACTTCCACTTTAAGATGAGTAAGTCCTCGGAACAGAACGTACAGTGTGGTGACCAGAGTTAACAGTACGCATTACATTTCTGAAAGTTGTAAAGAGAGCAGACCTTAAAAGTTTTCATCACAGGAAAAACCATGTGCAATGATGTGAGGGGATGGATGTTAACTGCAACTTCTTTTGTTTTTTTAATATATTTTATTGATTTTTTACAGAGAAGAAGGAAGAGAGAGATAGAGAGCTAGAAATGTCAATGATAGAGAAACATCAACCAGCTGCCTCTTGCACACCCCCTAACGGGGATGTGCCCCCAACCAATGTACATGCCCTTGACCGGAATCGAACTTGGGACCTTTCAGTCCACAGACCCGACGCTCTACCACTGAGCCAAACCGGCTTTGGCTTAACTGGACTTCTTATAGCGATCACTTCAGAGTATACACATACAGCAAATAATCGTGTTGTACACCTTACACTAACACAGTGTTTCCCCAAGTATGGTAAGTTTCCCCCAGGGATACGGAAAGAGTTCGATGGGGGTACGTGTTGCACCGGAATTTGGTGGGATATGCACTGCACCGTGCTTAGCTGCGCCTAATTCTGCGTTCTCATGAGTACGAGGGGTACTCAGCATTACGAAAATTATAGAAGGGGTACACGTATGTCAAAAGTTTGGGAAACATTGCACTAACACAATGCTACATGTCAGTTCTCTCAATAAAACTAGTACAAAACCTCTTATCTGAATTACTGTTCTCTACTCAACGGTCCAGTAGGATCATGGGCACTGTAGGAGTTGCGGGTTTAATAAAAGAAAGTTTTCCATTGTCTTAGGCTTTTATTTATTTACTTTTTCTAGGCAGTCCTGGGTCTCTTGCTTACACAGTCACTATCCTCAAAATCCTTCAACAAAGAATGAAAACATCTGGGCAGGGATGTGTGGGGACAGGAAAAGTGAGCCAAATAATCTTTTTAAAGTACTCAGGGGCACATCCGGGCTATCATTGAATGCTTCGTACGTGCCACATACTCATATTTATATGAGTGATGGCATGATATTTTTGGAATAGCTGTATGAGAAAAG